CAAGATAGCAAACTTAATTGCATGTTAGTTCTAGTTTGACAAGGGATTGTGAATTAGAATTTATATATTTGATTGCATTTTGGGTAAATTTCTTCTATGCACCTAGTCAATGAGGGATCTAGGCTAGGAATTTGAGAAATTGCTCTTGATGGTAATTAATTCCCATTTTAATTCTTTCTTTGCATGATTGATTATCAAATCGATTCCCATTAACTTGTTAATTGTTCAAAGTGGATCTTTGCCCCTAGTAGACTTTGTAATATCTTGATCTTTATATGTGTGTTAGTGTAGTTGTAGCGTCCACTATCCATAAACCGACTTCGACGTAGCTTAAGCATTAGATCGAGAACAATCCAACATTACCGTTCCTTTTGGTTCGATTCCGAACTTACCACTAGACTTTTTTAGGGGTTAGTTTAGGATTATAATAAATTTTGTTTGGCCGTGAGGAGGTTAGTCAACGACCTAATCTCCCCGCGCTCAGTGATCGCCAATAATTAGATTTATGTGTGCATTAATAATCAACCACCGTAGACTAAATATGCTTAGGATTAATTTGTTGTATGTATGTTGATCGGAAAGTGCACATGGATATCATAAGAATTAAGTAGAGGTCGATTAAGGGCGCGTTCAATCTCTTTTAGGTTGGATTCGTACCATCATCCCCGAATATCAAGTCATGGTTCCGGACCACTATGAAGTTAGCAATCTCCATGATCGTGAATGGGGTGTAACCTTAACACCCGTGAACGGTTTACAAGTTCCTAAAACTTGTTACCGACTCTTTTATCTCTAGCTTCTTTCCCTTTGGACGCCAGCATGCCTAAAAGCATGATCATAGTGGGGCTCAAAGTTGAGTTTAAAAAATTCGCTACAATTACTCAGGAATTTAGTTTTGTAATTCTAACTCAGATTTCAAGAAATGATTTGTAGATTAATATGATCTCGACATGGGATGCAATCATATTATCAAATCGACACATATTGACTTAAGGAATTTGAATATTGCACACTTGTCTCAGACAAGTGGGAGATTGAAGGATTTATATCTTCGTTGAGTGCAATTACTTGATATATAATGGATCAAATTATGGAGATAATTAAGTTCGTCCATTTAGGTTGCGTTATATCATAGCTAGAGGTACTAACGATCTTTGGGATAATAAAATAGGCCAAAGCCCAATCAGACGGATCCTATAAGGTCACACAAAGGGTCTAGATCTAGCATAAGAGGACGAGGCCCATGATGGGCCTCATCACTCTAGGTGGCCGGCCATGAGGAGGAAATAGGAGGGCTTGGGCTTTGCTCCTAGTCTAATTATAATAGGATTATAAATAGGCTAAGTGCCTAGGTTTTTGGTAGAACAGTTTTACTGTACATCAAACCCTAATTAGCAAACATGAGACCAACCTCCTCAAACTCCTCTCTCTTTCCTCCTCTATGCGTCAGTGGTGTGCACGGTGGTGGTGGTGTCCGGTTGTCCGTTAAAGGTAGTGATCGCGGTTTTCTCCTTCACTCGACCAATCTAGTATTGGTGGACGGCTTGATCGAATCCCATGGACTAGGTAGAAGAGTCAATCTTGGGGTTCCATTCTCTCCCTGATTTGTCAATCAATTTGCTACATGGAGATCACGTTTCAAAAGTATAATTATGTGATTCTTGTGTATTATACATGATATCTTGTTTTAGGTGCGTATGAATATGATTTTTGAATTCCACTTATAGTGTCTAAAGTCCTGAAAATATTTTTGATTAATATAAGTGACATACTAATCTAATGCGAGTACTTCGTTGGTGACCGTTTTTAAATTTGGACTATGTTACGATTTTAATTATCCTAGACATTTTGTCCTACGATTTCCAACTATTATAATTGAAATACTTTCTTATAGAGTTTTTTTTTTTGGAAAAAATTTCGAAATTTGGTGAATTGGTGACTTGTCAATCATAAGTGACGATGTGGCAGCTGCTTGTGAAATTTTGTTGATGTTTCAAATGATGTGGCGGTATTTAAAGATACAGGGGATTTCTTTTTAAAAAAAAACTAGTGTGTGTCCTAGGTGATGCCCCGCATTGCTGGTTTGTACTTTGTACTTTTTTAATTTGATAATTATGTTCAACTGTTTGTATAACTAGTGTGTGATTCGAGCGTTGTCTAGGATGTTGCGTTTTTTTTTTACCTCATATGTATTTATTTTCTAATCTTGTGAAAAATAAATAAATTAAATAACCTCTAATTTGAAAGAATATATAATGTTATTAATGTGAAATTTAAAACACTAATAAAAGTTGGTTGAGATGGTTAGTGTATAACCTTTATTTGTTGGTGGTTGCGGGTTCAAATCTAGATCAAACCATAATTTATTTATTTTGTTAAATGAGCTTGCAAGCTTACGTGTTGCATGTACTTTGAAGAGTGTGACGTGGCATTGTGACATGGTGCCACGTGGCACCGTTCCTTTAAAAGAAACGCTTTTTAATCTATAGTATAGATTGACATGTTGGATGATGTGGCATTGACTAAGAAATGTAGCTTACGTGCTGCTTATGTGGTTGACGACATGGTATGTTGTGTCTCAGACAAGCTACTTGCGCTTGACATTTTAGGTAATTTTTCTAGATCTAACAACTTTGTTGCACTATAAGCAATGAAAACAGAAATTACTTATATCAAGGTTGCGTAAATCAAACTGACAATAGCCGCATCGTGATGAGCCACTAACTTAAAAGATAATTTTGTGCTACTCCAGTGCATTAGATGTAAAGCGGTCTCCCTCAAGGATAACCACGACGCTGGTGTTTGTGTGCACTCACAAACCCGTTTGGAATTTAGAAAACCTTTCCACAAAACATAAAGAATAATAATGTTTAGAGAAGAGGATATTCAAGTTTTGCCGTGTGTTTCTGATATTGAGAAGACTTGTAAATATAGCAATTTAGGAGCCAATGACCAGCAAAGGAATAGGAAGATACGATCACTTAATGGCATAATTAAACATCCATTAAAATCGAAAGAGTCAGCAATATACAAGACATAGCTATAATCCAAATAGCTAGAAAATATTGTAACTGGTTACAATATTTAAAAAAACGAGATTAGCCCACAAAGAGAAGGAAAACATGTGTAAAAGATAGAGAGCCCATAACTCATCCACACCTGCGCATCGCATTTGCCAATACCCAAGTTTTGAAGCCTGAGTGTGTGGTACAAAACCCACCTCCCACTTTCTCAACCAAGTCGTATTAAAGCACTCTAATATATAAATGTTGGGGAAAAATCTCTCTCTTTTTTCTTTTTTTTTACTCTTTTCCTCACTTTGTTTTTCCACTCATTTCTCTCACTTTAATTCAAGAATTTCAAACAAAATCTTGATCACAAATTTGAAACATATCCGTTTTATTCTACTCGCAACACTTTACATCTTTATAGATTGATATATAAGGTAATATATAATCATGTAGAGGGATCTTATTAGATTCATCTCAATGTATATTTTCATAATATTGATTTTTTTTATTTTTTATTTTTTATTTTATTATTATTATTAATTTTTTTATTTTTTATATTATTATTATTATTATTAATTTTTTTATTTTTTATAATTCTACATAATCATAAAAAGATATTAATGGTTGAAGTTATGCATCGACAAATATGAAGGTCAACTTGTTGTCAGTAAAATGGAACGGAGGAAATATATAATACTTCGTATCATTATGGTTTTTGAGATATGACCTAAATAGTACAAGCAAGGGTGTTTGTTTTGAGTTTGATTTAAGTATTTTGCCCTATCTCATTTCTTATAAATCAAATTTAGGCTTGTGGAATATCTTCGAAAAACATATTTTAAGGTCTACCTATAGGAAAATCCAAAGGCTTGTGAATAATTATACTCGATTTTGGGCTAAGGGATTAGAAAAGTGAGAAATAATTAAGGGGGTGCTAATTGGTTCAAACAGTGATATGAGTTTGAAATCAGGAATGAAATTAGGGTGATTAGGGGTTGAAACTTAGTTGTTAATACCTTGTGTTTAGTTGTTGTTCGAAAGTGATTATTTCCTTTTTTTTTTTTGATACCTAGAGGTGTGGTATGAGCCATACCCCCTAGTTTCTAAATCTTATTCCTTGTGAGGTTTAGAAATTGGATTTTTTTTTTTTTTTGAAAATTTAGAAATTAGATTTTAAATGTTAGGTATGAGTTTTATTCATTCCATTTCTATAGACTCATACTTCATATTTAAAACCTACTCCCAAATTCCCCCTAAAAGTAATAGACATGGTTTATGGATAATGACAAGAAAATTGGCCAAACAATCATAAAACCCGATCTGCGAATAAAACTTCTTTTCTTTTTTTGTCAAAAAAAAAATAAAAAAAAATAAAAAAATAAAATCAATCTTCTTTTTTAAGCCAAAGACCTGTCCCCCTTCCTATAAATTAAAAATGAAAAAAAATAAAAAATTCATCGAAGCATTCAAATTTAAATCTTATTTTATGTAGTTCACGCAATATAATGAAACTAATAAGTGCATTCAATATTCATCTTCTAGCCGTTGACATGATTTAAAGTATATATAAAGCATAAGAACATTCGCACCTCATATATATAATAAAACGTACACTCATGTTTATACACTTTTTATAGTACCAAATTAAATTCTTTCTTTTCTCACACAAATGCAGCATATGTGTTTTGTATGCCTTAATTATTCCATCATACTTACTAAATTAATACATTTCACACTCTCACATCAACCCACTTTATTAACTTCTTTGCTAATTATAACCAATCAAGAGATCTCTTACATGTTAATGCACAATTACACATTCATTTCAACTTTAATATCTTGAAGCACTAATATAAAATAATATAATTTTTGACCTTAATCTTACACTATAAATACAAGGTGAAATCACCAATCCTACAATGCAAATTTCACTTATTCCTATCAAATTCAATTTCATTTAGTTCAACATATTGATAAACTTAAAAGAGCATGGAAAAAATAGATCATTTTCCTATAGGAGCTAGTACACATAAGAAGCTTAGGTTATTTGGTTTCGATTTCGATTTCCATGGAGATGATGCCACTAATCCAAGTGGTAATGATCGTAGCGACGAGCAAATGCAAGTGAAGCGTAAGTGTCCATTTTGTGACAAAGAGTTCACGAATTCTCAAGCATTGGGAGGTCACCAAAATGCTCACAAAAAAGAGAGGTTGATGAAGAGAAGATCACAATTTGAGGAGAAAAAAGCAAGTATTGAGTTCTATCTTCGGTCTCTAGATCATCCATTTACGAACTCTTTGGTGTATGATTCCATGAATGAGCCCCAACTTTTGTTCAACTCTACTAAGCCTTACCATAAACATGGTTGTGATGGGCTTGATTTAAGCCCCTTGCAAATTTATGTCCCATATTAATGCATACATTTTACAATTGTATAATAATTTGGTATGTAGTAAATTTTTATATAAATATCTAGAAAATTTGCCAATTACAGCCATTTAAACTTTGTATTTTGCAAATTGCAGCCATTTAAAAAAAAATTGCAAATTGCAGCCCACAAGTTGTTATAAATTGTAAATTGCAGCCTAATTCAATTTTTCATCAGTTTGCGTGTCGAAAAATGTTCGGGTAAAGTTTTAACGACCATTTTAGCTCTTAAGGGTCCAAATTGAGCTCGGAATTGGCAAAAAATTAACGTAAGTGCCTCGTCTTTACAGCAAAAAATAGTTGCATACAAATCAATAAATTTTTGTTATGCAAAACGAGGTACTTACGTTATTTGTTTGCTAATTTCGAGCTCAATTCGGATATTTTTTGACACGCATACCGATGAAAAAGTTGAATTGGGTTGCAATTTACAATTTATAAGAACTTTTGGGGTGCAATTTGCAATATACTTTTATTTTTATTTTATTTTATTTTATTTTATTTTATTAATTTTTTTTTTCAAATGGCTACAATTTACAAATTACGAACTTTAGATGGCTGCAATTGACATATTTTCCTAAATATCTTTTGAAGTGCAATATTAAGTAGTTGATCGACTATTGTTCTCTTAAGCTTATTTAAAAAGTAATATTTTATAAAAATCAGTTATAATAAGCTGAAATCGGCTTTTTATTTTTAAGCTTGATTGGATTTTTTTACCAAATTAAGCCAACTTGGCAAACTAATTTGCAAAGTAGACTTGTGGCAAAAGTATTTCCCAAACTAAGCTTCTGGGGTAAAACGCTGTCTCGGACAGCGTTTTATACCCAGAGTTTTTTTTTTTTTTTTAAAAATCCAAGACATAAAACGCTGTCTCAGACAGCATTTAATGGTAGTTGACTTTTTTGTATGTATTTTGTAAAAAAATTGTAACAAATGTATGTATACCATAAAACGCTGCCTCAGGCCGCATTTTATGTAATGAATAAAACGTTGTATGAGGCAACGTTTTATGCCTGAGGCAGCGTCTTTCTGCTGGACAGCAGCCAGCTCCTCTTCCTGTTCAAATTCAGCCCCCTACACACCACCCTCACCCACCAGCCTCAACCAACACCCTCAACCACCACCCCTACCGCCGATTACCACCGGCAACCATTGTCGACCACCCTTATGCACTTCAAAACACCCCGAATAATACACGAGCATTCCCACCACCAGCCCAAACCTTTCTACCACCACCAACAACCATCAACACTCGAAACAACCCCAACAGCACTACAACCATCGTGAAACAGCACATTAACTACAGCAGACCATCAATTCAACCCTGTTTCTTATTATGGAGCCCAAATATATGTTGTTTGATATATATCGGCCAAAAAAGACCTAGTTTTACTGACATAAGTCCGATTCGGACAAATAAGGAAATTAAAAATCAAACTGTACAGAGATTCATTTATAAAACATTTCTTGTATTAATAATGTAAGTGTTATATACAACATTGTAGAAAATAAGAGTACCACAAATAAATCAACTAATACTATCCCGACTCATTTATTGGAGGTAACTGATCTCCATCTTGTGTGTCCTCCCTCAGTCTATGAAGACACCTCATGTAATGCTGAATGGGTCTCGGGGCGGTGGAGTCAGCTGGCCAGACGATGGGTCATCCTGGGTATGGCCGGGAGCAGTATCATGGATGATGTAATCCTCTGCTTGTGTAGAGGCCGTAGTAACACCTCCTACTCTGTCCTAACTCGAACTGTGAATGGAACGACCGGCGTCCATGATCGTCCCGCGGCTGGATGAGATGGCCATGGACAAATCTCTGTAAGGTATCCATGCCCATATCTCGCACCCGCTCCACCTGGGCTCTGGTGGGTATGCCTGCTAAGGCGTCTGATAGTGCATCAACCATCGCACTCACATCCCCCGCCTGCATTAATCATCCATCACTTATTAATATGATACAGAAATTCAAATATTTTTGGAAACAAGAAAATTAAATAAACTCACAAGGCCGCAAATAACGTCATAAGCTGGATGGTAATGTGTGGATGGTGGCGTGTAGCTAGGGTTGATGAAACGTCGTGTAATCTGCATGTACCATACCATGTAAGGATCACGAGGATCCATAACACCCTCAAACGGATGACCGGCAACGACAGACTCCAACCGCTGGTCCCAAAGCTCAATGAAACGCCAATGCTCCTGCGACCAGTTTGTCTCCGCCTTTCCCCGACGGTCAATATCGTGGAGGCGGATACTAGTGTCATACTCCAGGGGGATAGGCTGGTGTAGCCTAAACTGTCGCATCACTCGGTCCGGTAGGTGACTCTCCACGACCTCGAAACAGATCATGGGGGTCCTTACACGCCACTCTGCGTGATAATCGAGAAAATGTAGAGGCATTGCCTCTACCAAATGAGCAAGATACGGATCCCATGTCATCTGCAATAAGGCATCAAAAATAATATCATAAATAGGTTAGTGCAATGATAATAAACAGTGTATAGAGTAAAAAAATGGTTAAAAATTTATTTTAAGATACCACCTGCTCCTCGTTGAGTCGATCGAGCGCGTCACGATAGTACGGAAGACCCCTCGCTCCATGCGCATGTGTCAGTCTGGGGACCACCCACCTATGGCAACAAATTGTTTAAATGTTTCAACCAACAATTTAGAACAATATGGGGCAAAAAAAGTGCAATGTTACGAACCTACAACCGTACGCCTCATCAGGTGCAGGGAGCGGTGGAGCATCGTACAGTGCGTACTGCTCATCCTGGTCCTACTGCCCAGCACGATGTACAGCAGGCCTACCTGGTCTCCCCACATGGATGTGCTTCCAAGCCCATAACTGGAATTTAAAAAATTAAAAACTAGGTTAAGTATAAATTACTTAAGTCATTGCGAAACTAGGTTGTGGATAATCATGAGGTTTACCTGTAGCACAATCAAAGGACCTCCGATCTCAGCTGCTCCACGGTGGGATGCTCTACACAGCTGGCGATACAAGATCGCCAAACAAGCACTACCCCAACTATATCCACGGATCTGATCCCAGTCGTGGTCTAACAGTTGCAGGTAAATAAGCTGTAAATGGCTTCCGCTATTGTTTCCAAACAACATGCCCGAGATGAGCAGAAACAAGTAAGCTCTAGTGTATCTCTGCACTATGGCGTCGTCAGCGTGTCCAGGTAGGTCACGAAAAGTGTCGCGTAGCCAGCTTATCCTCAACGCGGTGCCCCTGATCTCACTGGGATCTGGCTGAACACCTAGAACCCGAGCTACCAAACCTGCGGGGTCGACCAAAACACCCCTGTCACTGAAGTCCCATGGATGGGAAGGCGCGTGAGTATCGCGACGTCTCGCAGCGTGACAGTCGCCTCCCCAACAGGTAGATGGAAGGAGTGCGTCTCCTGTCTCCATCTCTCAACTAGTGCAGTGATAAGCCCCCGATCGATTTCTCTGTAAGCCATACGATGTATGCCACCGAAGCCAGCCCAGTCGACATACTGAAGAATGCGTGGATGGAGAACCCAGTTGTCCAAAACCCTGGTCATGAAGTGCCTGCAAACCAGCATCCCCGCTACGTCCACCTGTTAAATCATTGAAAGACCGTAAATAATATTGGATAATACATCAAAACAACACAAATCAGTACATAATGCCAAATGAAATATTACCGTCTGCTCCCATATGTCAGCGCTCCGATGGCTGCCTGCAGTGTAAGGACAGAACGGTTAAGAGGTCCGGGTGTCCTATCGTGTCCGTCCATGATATCTTTTCATTAAAATCAATATGAACACCCCAATTATACAACACAATTACTAGATTATGAAATTGACATCATTTGGACAAGTAAAAGGTAACGATGGAAAATTTGTAATCAAAACCAAAATATAAGATACATATGATCGTAGCGTTACATATGTTGAAAAATCTACACAATCATATCCTAAATGAATCTACTATTCCACCACTACAACAAATAACAAATACAAGCTTAGGTCCTGGTCAGTCGAGAAGGACACGTTGTGCGGTTGTGACCTTGCTGGTGGCAGCGGCTGCATTTAGTCCGAGGGCGGTTGGTCTCGTCCATCTCATTGCATATGCGCTTTGACTTTGGTCGACCTTTTCCTCTTACCATGTTGCCGTCCGGGATGAGTTTATGACCGGTGCACTGTGTCCACATCATCTCACAGGGGATAGGCCAGAACTATGGTGCGTACGTGTTCGTATAGGCATCCAATTGCAGGAAAGGGTCCACCCACGACCTCTCTGATAGTGAGTACGTCGCACAGACCGCTAGAACATGAGAGCATGGGAGGTGGAATATGAGGGGTTTGTTGCATGTACAGGTTCTCGACTGAAAGTTAACAGTGTGTCTATGGCCTCCCTTTCTACCAACTCAATCTCCCCTTTCTGTTGTAACTTGGTAAATGTGCAATCAGTGGTTATAAGCATCCACCCTGTGGTATCTTGCTTTTGTTGTGTTCTTCTCCAGAATAGCAGTGACCTTAGGGGGGTATGCTAGTCCCTGTTCAGCCCTTGACTCAGCAGATTCCCTTCTTAAGGTGAAGTACTTGTTGACTCTGTGGAAAGTTAACTCGACGAGGGACATAACTGGCATGAACCGAGCTCCCTTCAAAACATTGTTAAATATCTCAGAGAAGTTTATTGTACATATCCCATGTCTACGACCATCGTCATAAAACAACGACCACATATAAAACGACACTTGGGCAATATACTCCAACGACTTGGTACATGCCTGACCGATCAATAACAGGCCTACAATGTTTAAAACCATCAATACAAGGACTAAATGCCAAAAACACTAGTTCAAACACTTCCATGTTGCTGGTATACCTACCCTCCACTAGAGCTTTGTGTTTCCATACGACTGCGGTTCCCGGGTTTGACTGTTGCAGTGCTTGCATGAAATGAGGAAGTCTGCTGTAAGAACTCTCCCAATCCCCAAAAATTTGAGTGATGGCTTTGTCCTTGGCATACCATGCTCTTTGATACAGAACTTCAAAATGGAATTGCTTGGAGATGAGTTCCTGTATGAATTCAACTTTTAGGGTCGGATCTTTCTGCACAAAGGACTTCACATACTCAGATATTTTAATCGAATCCAAGTGTGGGTGATCAGTAGATAGTACTTCGGTAACATAGTTCTCCCGGTGCGGCCCTTTGTATGTGACTAGGGTGAAGCCACGCGAGTGCTCACTTATCCTCGTACCCCGTAAAGACCAACCACATTTCTTCTTGCAACGCAGATGAAGGACACTCTCATTTGAGGTGACTGTGGTGTAGATTTCACTGTATAGAATACATCTTCACCATTTCTTGAAGCACTTTCTTAATTTCAAAGTACATGCCCTTCTCAAATTCTCCCCCTGGAACAAATGATGTATGGTTACCCGAATCGGACCAATACTCATCAACTTCATAATTCTCGTTTATCTGACTAAACCAAGGTACTGAAGTTCTAACCATGGGCTCATCAATTTCCATCTGGCCAGGTTCAACATCCATGAGCTCAAGTCCATCATCCTCCTCCCTGTTGTCATCCTCATCATTTGTATCCGCATACACATCGTAGACCGACAATTCGTTGTTCACAATATTATCAAAATGAGTTGGCTCTTCTCGAGACGGTGACGGTTGCACCTCATCTTGCATCGGTGAAAGAGCCACGGTGTTTGATGTTGAAGGACCGGATTGGCCGAACATTGTCACACATCCCCCTGCATGTACAGGTGATGCTATATGAGAACTAAATGGCATGTGAAATTGATCGTCATGCAACATTCAACTAAAAGTTCCCATCCCATATTCATTCGATGGAATGTGGTTTGAGGGCACTTGGAAGGACGCGGTGTTGAAATCAGAGACATATATAGCATGTTGTTCTGCCAGAGTACTTTGTTGGGTACATACAGGCACCGTTTCTAAATATATCTCATTGGGAACACCCTTCATTGCAACAATGCTCCTCAAAGGTTTCAAAGGTTTGTTTGTAGAGACAGGTAACACTTGAACCCCATGACCAGTCTCAAACCTCATTTTAATGTTCAGTTCAACATTCATTGGGTTTGAACCAATACTGCTATGAACTTCATTCATCAAATCAATGACTGTCATGTTAGGTTCAAGTGTTATAGGTTCCATATTTCTTCCAATGTACTCGACACTTGGTCCATCGAACAAAATTTCACCTCCCCACCAGCATAACAACACTACATTTTGTGTAGCCATATTCTACATAACAACCAAATCAGATTTAAGGATAATCGAACTCTAAAACAACGTAAAAAAAGCCTAATTGAACCATACATAACATACATAGCAATGAAACAAGGCCATTCTCACTATCAACAATTTCATTAACTCTTAGTTTAGGTTGCAATGCAAAATGATTACTATAACCAATTTCATCATAAAATTTCACATACAAGTACCGCATTACCATCAACAATTTCATCATTATTTTCACAAAAATAAACCACATTACCATCAACAATTTCATCAACAGTTTCATCTACATTTTCATCAACAATCTACCACATTACCATCAATAATTATCAACAATTTACCACATTTTCATTACTAATAACCAACAAATTAATACAATGTACATTATACTATGAATTTAGGGTTTACCCGAATTGAGTGAGCGAGAGAGAGTAAGTGTGATAGTGGGGCAATGGCGGCAGCAACTCCTTCTCTTTTCCGCGGCGGCAGAGGCGGTGGCAACGGCGGAGGCAGTACCGGCAGCGGCGGTGGCAGGAGTTGCGAAGGAGAGTTAGAGTGAGAACGAGAGTAAGAGTGAGAACGAATATGTTTGTGAGAATGAGAGTAAGAATGCAGAAGACTGAGTATATTCCTCGCAAGAAACGCTTCATCAGGCAGCGTTTATTGTGAAATAATAAACGCTACCTGAGGCAGCGTTTTCTTTTGAACAATAAACGCAGCCTCAGGCAGCGTTTCATTAAATGGTATAAACGTAGCCTGAGACAGCGTTTTATGTCTTGGATTTTTTTTTCAAAAAAACTCTGGTATAATTAAAACACTGTCCGAGACAACGTTTTACCCCAAAAGCTTAGTTTGGGAAATACTTTTGCCATGAGTCTACTTTGCAAATTAGTTTGCCAAGTTGGCTTAATTTGGTAAAAAGTCCCTATCTTCTTCCGTCATTGTTTAATCCCTTTTGGAGCAAATGTTTACCAACTAACCATAGATTGCCATTGAAATACAAGAAAAAAGAAAAAAATCATGTTTAATTATTCAATATATCAACTTTTATAATGTTTATTGATATAAAATTGTACTATGAAGATAATGATGGTAAATTATGTATTTTGAAGACTGCAAAACAAGTAAATGGAGAAAACGATTAAAGGTAGGGTGACCACGAAAAAGGAATGCAAGATGCATAAAGTAAGGATTGTATTTGAGATAGAGAGAAGCCAAGGAAAACTAATGATCTCTGTTAGTTCATGGACTCAAGCTTATTTTCAAGGTTAAATGACCCTAATCGATCAAAGGTTTGTAACTAAGGATTTTACCTAAAAAGTTATTAGTACCAACTATCGAGTTGAGCCACCATTGGAATATGCCTTTATCCTATTTTCGTGATTATATGGACACAAATACACAATTAATAGTTTAATACAGGAACCATTCTTATTGATTGATGGGTCTAAAACCCAAACTTTTTATAATACCAATCATCAAAACTTAGATTAGTATAATGTATTATTGTATGCATATTTACGAATCTAATTTCTTATTAAAAGTCAAAACAAGGTAATAAAATAACTAAGCAAAAAGTAGAATATAACAACTAACAAAAGGTCAAAATCGTATTCTAATTAGTTCTTGCAATAGTGTGATACATAACCAATTAGTTCTTGGTTTTGTGGTTTTTTTATTTTTTATTTTTTTTTTTAAAAAAAGAAACTCGGGCATTATATTATCATATCAAATCAATATCCGTCAAAGTCAAAATGCTTTGCGGAATCGAACCAATACAAATGTACTCATTGCTACTACCCGTATCCCATCTAGCTATGGAATGAGCTACGGCATTACATGCCCGCTTTACATGGGAGAAAATAACATCATCACATAAATTGCTATCGAACTTAATATCATCATACACCAAGAATATTGGAGAGAAGCCTGCAACATTTTGGTTGATGGCGCCAATGAAATTTGCAGCATCACTTTCAATCCAGAGCTGGGAGTAACCAAATCGGCGAGCTATATGAATACCATACCTCACAGCAAGGGCTTCGGCACACTCAGCATTTGCAGCCCGAGTATTCTTCTTTGCACACAGCTGCACCACTCCATTTGAGTCGCTCAATACCACACCCAGCCTAGCAGAAAAACCACTCACAAAATGAGCGTCTGTGTTCACTTTTATAAACCCAGCAGGAGGACACTTCCAAGTATTAATGGCAGGTTGTGCAGTAGTGCTAGGGGCACCACTATACACTCTCTTTGCATAGGTTAGGTACTCCTCCACCATCCTTACATAAACAGCAGCCAAAGCAACAGCATCCGGATTTGTGTTCTCAAAGAACACTTTATTTCTACACGCTCATGCTGCCCACATCAGAGTAGCTGCTTTCCTTAGCTCCCCTGAACTCAATTTGCTTGCCAACTAGACCCATCTCTCTGTAAATGAGACAGAAGGTGCATCTTCAATTATTTCCGCCAGAGGGTGTTGGTGCCATATAGAAAACCGCAGCCTTACACTCAAAAAGTGCATGAATTATAGTCTCAGAGCTAGCACCACATATTGGACAGGTTGCATCCCTCACTGTATGACGATGTTGAAGCCTTTCTTTGACAGCCAAGCTACCCTTAGATGCCCTCTGTAGAAAGTGTCAGTTTTGGTGGACCCTAGAGACCAAATACCCCGCCAAAGGTTCTCATTCCCCCCACTCGCACCTTCTTCAAACTGATCCTGATGACCCAATTTTGCTAGCCAATAACCAGATTTTACCGAATATACACCTTCCTTCGATAAACTCCAAAACAGTTCATCCCTAGGCCATCTTTGAGACAGGGGCATATTTAACACCAGTTCGCGTCTTCATTGCTCAGGACACTCTCCACTCTTCTTACATCCCAATCTCCACTAGCATAGTCAATAAGATCAGCAACCCTTAAATCCATATCACTAGCTAGGAGTGGAGATGGCTTGGTGATCTTTCCTTCCTTTATCTACCAGGGATCAGTCCAGACATTAATTTCAGTGCCATTTCCCACACGCCAGGCAAAACCCTCAAGCAGCAAAGATTTTGCACCCCACAAACTCCTCCAAGAGTAACTCTGGTCAAAACCCCTACGAGCATCTATCACTGATGAGTGCTTAAAATACTTCGCCTTCAGAATTCTATGATGAAGTGTGTCACCCCCATTGTATAATCTCCACACTTGCTTAGCCAATAGAGCTTGGTTGAAGCATTTTAGATCCCTAAAACCAAGACCCCCCTTTGACTTTGGAGCACTCATCTTCTCCCAACTATGCCAATGAAGCTTGCGATTATCTGGACTTGAACCCCACCAAAATCGACCCAAAAGAGCATGAATCTCGTCAATTAGGCCATCCGAAATTTTGAAGATGCTCATCATATATGTGGGAATAGCTTGAGCGACTACCTTGATGAGAATCTCCTTTCCGGGCTTTGATAGCAACTTCTCTTTCCACCCATTTAGCTTCTTCCAAATTCACTCTTTCAGAATAGCAAAGATAACCTTTTTAGACTTCCCAATGATAGTCGGCAAGCCTAAATACCTTTCGTGCTTCTCCACCTGTCGAACCCCTAAAGTATCAACAATTTCTTGTCTTCGGTCAGTAGTCACACATTTACTGAAAGCCACTTCTTTCTTGTCTAAATTAACTTTTTGACCAAATGCTCATATTTACTGATAATGTCAGCAATCACCGAACATTCCTATAGATTAGCCCTCGTAAATAGTAATATATCATTGGCAAAGAACAAATGTGACACTCTTGGAGCACCATTACAGACCTTCGCACCATGGATTTTGTTCTCAGTAGCTGCTTTTGATAGAAGAGAAGAAAAAGTATCAGCACACAGCAAGAACAAATATGGGGACATAGGATCACCTTGTCGAAGGCCACGAGAAGGGCACACATTGCCAGAAATCGAGCCATTTATTTTGAAAGAAAAAGAGACACTAGCCAAGCAATCCATAATTCTCCGAACCCAGTTTGAACTAAAACCTAATCCGCACATTACCCTCTCAAGAAAAACCCACTCCATCTGATTATAAGCTTTGCTCATATCAATCTTCATAGCAACCGATCCTTCTCTACCTTCCCCCTTCCTTTTAATGGAATGAAAAATTTCCAAAGCTATTAGAGCATTATCCGTAGTGAGACGACCCAGTACAAAAGCACTCTGATTTACGGAAATAATATTATCCAAAAATGATTTCAATTTGTCGGCCATTATTTTGGATATTATTTTATATAGAACATTGCAACAGCTTATCAGCCTAAATTCTGTAATCTTTTTTGGGTCCTCACATTTTGAAATTAGTACTACACATGTTTTATTTGCTTTCGACAAATTAATCAAAGTATTCCACCAATTTTTCACAAAACATATAATATAGTTTCCAGCAATATGCCAGAATTTTTGAAAAAACAAAAACATGCATACCGTCCGGTTTCGGAGCCTTATTTGGATGCATAGCGTCTCTTTTATTTCCTCGTCACTTGAAATAGTATCCAAACTGCCATGCATTTCATTAGTAACCACCGTAGCTAGTCCCACCAATGCCGCTTCAAACTTTGTGGGCTCTTCGGATTTGAATACTTCACCAAAGTAATACTCTACAGTCCTCTCAATTTCAGCTTTACTTTCATGCCACACATTATGTTTACGCTAAATCCCTGTTACTCACTGTGAGTAACAAGTTTGTTACTCAAAGTGGCATTTCGGAAATTAAGTGGAAGTTTTCCACTTCCTGAGTTGTTGAGTTGGATTCGTCTATGTGTCAAGTTGCTGACTGTACCTGGAGTATTGCTGAGTGGGGGACATCCTTCCGTCAATTAGTGGATGGCGTTACCTTCTTGACGTTTTGGCGGGAAAATATTCACAGCTTCCATACCCAGAAGCTTGTTCAGAGAATTAGCAGGTAGTTTTCTGATCTTTACTCATCGCCGTTTTGTATAGCTTCCAGACCCAGTAAACAGACCCGGTTGAAAACCACACGGACATCTTCGAATTACGAGGTATTTTTCCGATCTATTAAAGCGTCGCATGTTGCAGTCGTGAGTTTTGTTCTGTTGTTGTCATGCGCCCACAATTCATGAAATTGAGCTCATAACCTCAACCGCAATCAGAATAATTTTGAATGTAATTGGATTTTAAGGACTTTTTCCTCTGTTAAAATGGGGTTGAGGTTGATGGAAATGGCCGGAGGATTTTGTTTAAAATGTAATTTTTTAGTTTTTGAAAACAACGTGTTGTCTACGTATGTTTTTTAAAAATCCCTGTGTTGATTTGTGAGGTTATGTGAAAATTGGTTGTGTTGGTTGTTCAATTGGTTGGTTGATTTGTGTCGGTTGGTTATATTTTTGTGTTGGGTTGAATGTGTGCTGTGAAAACTTGTTTGGTTGATTTGTGTTGAATTTTATATTATAATTATGTTGGCGTTCTGTATTAATTGTTGTCGTAGTAATTATGTTGGTGTTCTTTATTTGAAGGGTTAATTGTTTTTGTTGGAGAAGATTGATATTATGGAAATGGAAACAAAAAGCGTTATACGGGGCAATGAGGTTGGTGTTGGTGATTGTGGCAGTGGAGTTAAGTTTCGGAGTAACGTCCATATGGAGGATGATATAGAAGACGTAGATGATGCAGGTAGCTGTGCACTTGACATGGATGTTAGGTATTTATCCCCCCTGGAAACAATTCATACGACTCACACTGTGGTTGGTAGCAACGAAATAGCTGTAGTTGTTGAGGAGCCTAAGGAAGGGATGGTTTTCCAGTCTTGGCAACAGGTTGAAGCCTACTATAAGGACTATGCTAAGCAGATGGGGTTTGGAGTGACAAGGGCTCAAGGTGTAAATTCTAAGACGGGGGACCCAAAAAAAATCAAAGTCACGTGGAAGTGTGAGTGTTGGGGAAAACCCGACATGAGGGCTAGGAGGGAAGCGAAGAAGAGGGCAAAGACAATGAGTCATGGAGGTTCAGGTGGTTTAGTTGATGGGGTGGTATGTAAGGATGAATTAAGTGGTATGAAGAGGACTTCGAAAAAGTGCGAATGTCAGGCCCGTGTTTATGCTAAAGTTAATGAAGATGGCTTGTGGGAGTTGAAGAGCGTGGAATTAAAGCATAATCACGCGATTGATCCGGAAAATTCTAAGCTTGTTAAGGAGTACCGCATGAGGCAAATGACCTCCAAAGTGAAGAAGACACTGACAGATTTGTACGAGCAAGGTGTACCAATTTCTCAAATACACGGTTTCATGGCGACCAAACGAAAGGGTAACATGGCTCTGACAGTAAAAGATTTACAACAGGAGGTGTACAAGGCTAGGCGGTTGAAGATGGTTGGAGGGGACTCGGTGGCAATGATGGAGTACTTTGACAAAATGTAAACCGGGAACCAAAATTTTTTCCATGCTCAATGTTTGGATGAAGAATGGAGGCTTAAGGATGTGTTGTGGGTGGATGCAAGAAGTAGGGTAGCTTATGAGGACTTTGGTGATGCGGTTTGCTTCGACGCAACATACCTAACGATTGAGTACGAGCTCCCGTTTGCGAACTTTGTTGGTGTGAACCACCATGGGAAATCGTTGTTGTTGGGATGTGCTCTTGTTTCACATGAAGACTGCGATACGTTTGAGTGGGTATTTCGACAGTGGTTAGCTTGCATGAACAATCGAGCTCCTAAAGCCATATTGACCGACCAAGCGGCATCTATGCGGAGGCCCCTTGCTGAAGTCATGCCAAACACGGTCCATCGTTGGTGCATATGGCATATCATGAGCAAGACCTTGTTGCTTTTCTGCTGTTATCATTTTTTTCTAGTTACCAAGAGTTCGTCAACCCCCTCAAAGAGCTGGTATATGAGAGCTTTGACACCGAGGAGTTCCAAACCCGATGGGCAGAGTTTATTGCTGAGTATAAGTTGGAGGACAATGAATGGCTACAAAGCCTACACAAAGAGAGTCATATGTGGGTGCCTGCGTACGTGAAGGAGTTTTTTTGGGCCGGTATGAAGACCACACAAAGGGTGGAGAGCATCAATCGATTTTTTTACGGCTATGTGGACTGCAAAATAAAACTCCATGAGTTTCCTCAAAAGTATTGCATGGCCTTGGATCAACGCGTTCGAGATGAACTGAGTGCAGATGCGCGTTGCTCGAAGTACCTTAAGAGGTTGGTTAGTGGATTCAAAGTCGAAAAAATATTCCAAAAGTTATACACGGACAACAAGTTTTAAGAAGTCCAAAAGGAGTGTACGAGAATGATGTATTGCAACGTCCGAGGAGAGAAGGTCTTGTCTGAAAAGCTTATTCAGTATTCGGTGGTCGATCGTGTATGGATACTACCTCCCGGTGCGAGTGAGGATGTCATTACAAACAGGCAAAGATCCTACAATGTTACTTTCTGTCCAGTGACAAAGGAGGTGCAGTGTGACTGTAGGAAGTTTGAGACAAGTGGCATACTTTGCAAACACTGTATTAGGATTTTGGATGAAAACTTGGTTGAAGATCTACTAGAGAAGTACGTTGTAGACCGTTGGAGGAAGGACATACCCCGAAAGCACACTAGGGTGAAGGTGGCCTACCATGATCCGGGGGACACGGACAATGTGAAGAGATTCAACAAAATGATGCAAAAACTCGAGCCCTTATACCGCTGTCATGGTGGACGATCAAACGGTCCATATGGTAATTGAAACACTATCGAAGCTTCAATTAGCTGTTAATGAGCGTAGGGACAAGAAGAGTAAGGAAAATGTTTCTGTAGTTAGTACATTAACATTAGCCACTAAAGGCAGAACGTTTTCCTCAGTTAGCAATCCTGCTGCTGATGCTACTACCGTAGACTCCTTTCCAGCTGCCATGGACCTTGTTATTAAAGAACCTATAATTAAGAAAAGGAAAAGGGGCAGGCCTAAGGGTTCAAGGCACAAAACGTTAGCTGAAACTAGCTACAAGAAAACTAACAAGAATAAGAAGCCTAGCCTGGTAAGATTTATGCTTTCTTCAATATTTAAAGGGTCTGATTGCTTATCCTGTTATTATTTTCTGAATGCTGGTATATCATACAGGAGCATGCAGGAAATGGCGTTGAGGAGGATGCTGGAAATGGTGGTGAGGAGGAGGATGCAGCAACAAATGGTGTTGAAGAGGATGCAGGTGTTGAGGAGGAGGAAATGGTGTTGCAGGATCTGGTGTTTAGGAGGAGGATGTAGGAAAAGGCATGAATGGCAGAACCCGGTAAGACAAAGGGGAAGACAACAACTGCAGGAAATGGTGATGGTGGTGAGGAGGATGCAGCATCAAATGGTGTTGAGGAGGATGCAGCAGCAAATGGTGTTGGGCAGGATGCAGGTGTTGAGGAGGAGGAAATGGTGTTGCAGGATCTGGTTTTTAGGAGGAGCATGCAGGAAAAGGCTGGAATGGCAGAACCCGGTATGTCAAAGGGGAAGACAACAAAGGAGAAGGGGAAGGCAAATACGTCTTCTCGAAAGCTACCTATAAGTTTCAATACTAATTTTATGTCATTCTACCTCAGTGATTATTTATATGACATTGAACACATCGCACCTGTCACAGGTGAAGCGGAAACGTCTTGATGAACTAATGGCCATTTCGTGACCATTTGAGTTGCGTCGTTAAATTAATATACTCGATTCTGAGCATGATTAAATACGAAGAAAATGTAGCTTGTTGTTACGGGAGCATATGAAGAACCGTTTACTGTTTGAGCATATGAAGAAACAGATTATGGGGTTTAGTGTTTGTTTGAGCATATGAAGAAACAGATTACGGGAGCATATTCTTTTCAACAGTTTGTAAAACTGTTAAGCATTTGAAACGTGTAAGAAAAATCTTCACATGTGTCTTTGAAATCATTTTCAAGGCAATGAATATATATACAGACAAAGGTTCAAGGTCTTGAGATCATTTTCAAGACGGAGTACATTGATTCACTTTTCAAAAAACGAGACTTTAAATGCTTTGAGTATCTCTGTTTTTCATGTTTTTACATGCTTTTACATGTAAAAACAAAAGTAGTAAAAACAAAAGCAAAATAAGCATAACATAGTACGCCTCAAAATTTAGGATACTATCTAGTGTAGACAACACAAACTGATCAAGTTCAAACAAAATTACCACATAGTCCTACAAAGACACATACACCGAGTCTGTTAATACACGTTGTTGTACATAATACGATCATCATTGGAGGAATGGAATGTAAATGACATTATTCCAATTGTTTGTCAGGCCACAAACACCAACACATCACAGTTTTTGCGATGTTTTCCTAGGACTTGGAATCGCATCTCCCAGAGAGTCTTTCAATTCGTTCACTTCACACTTCACGTCGTTTAAGAACAGATTTGCCTGAGCAGTAGGAATCTTCCCCTGTAAATGTAAGAACAGAACAAACACTTTAGCCAACCATTCTAGAGATCTTCACACAAAAAACAGATATATACACCACCTACCACAGTGAACCTCATGGTGAATCTTTTGGCAAAGAACTTAATACATGCCAACATAAGAACACCGCAGTATGAGCTGCATATTGGAGGACAACAATCAATACAAAAGCTGAAGATACGTTTTCCTGACCTTAAAGGTAGGCTGATAGTTATTGGCACATTAAGCAAACAAGGAAACACAAGTTCTTACTTATCCTTTAGCTCTAAGATCTCAACAGTGCATCTGCTCCAAGAATGTAGCTGACCAGCCTTCCATGCTAGGCCACGGAGTCAGAAAAGGACGTTGATGCCACTAAGCTGTAGTTTGACAAACACATTACACATTACCAAATGGTCCTAATAAACACCATGTTTGTTTAGAATGAAAGTCATTAGTTGTAGTACCAGAAGATCAATCTCTTTGGCATGTGTGGCGAACGGTTCAGGGTACATGGAATCTATCATCCACAATTGTTGAGCCTTCATGTGTAATGCTAAGCACCACCAGTGCGACTCGTCAGGGGAATCGTGAGGAACTTCGAGGACTGGGACAAACACCTGGTTAATTGACAATGGTAAGCACAATTTAGCGCATATGCATGAAAAACACATTTAAACCTATATTATTGAACTATGTGAGTAAGTTGCTGACCGCTCGAATATCCGAATTGTTACAAATATGTTCTTCTTATCCTTCGTTCAACAACAATCAATTCTACGATCCAGACAATAAAAGCAACAAGCATGACCATCATCATATGTGCACGTAAATATGACACCCCAAAGGTGAAGTGAACCCCGAACCACTTACCGAAAAGCTTGGGTCAAGCAAAATACGCTTGCTTCTGTTCCAAAAGTCTTTGGTGGCCCATTGCTTGGTGTATAGCACACTGGCCATTCTAACGTAATCAGTGGAAACTCGCGATTTATTGTGCACCACTTCATAGCAATCACTCTGGTTGGCTTTCATGCGATCACACCTTATCATCACCATACCGGGGCTATGCGGTGAACCATCATCATAACACCAAGTATACACATAAACATATTAGAATTTACAATTAATATAAAAACTTTGCAAAAGGCATACACAATAAAAAGACCTTTCACACTCAATTACACTTTCCTGCATTACCTAAGTGGATCCTTCAGCTTCTTCCACCGCTTTACAAAATGCAGGAGACATGTCTCCACCGCTGTATGGCGACGGGTGTTTGACACATTGGTGAACATGGCTGACAAGGCTGCCTCGGTAGGTTTCACCACCCTCTTATCAGAAGACTCATCTTCCTCCTCAGATGAAGATGACTTTTCCAAACTGCACCGAGAATCAACCAAGACAATCGTTCCCCTCGTCCCAAGCAAGCCCACAACTATTTCAGGTCCAGGCTTCACGTCCCCATCTTCCACGTCATGATCAAAATAACAACCATTTAACTCTGAGAGAACACCCTCATCAGCCCCAACCACCTTGGATTCATCCCCAACCACATTGGCCGCACCTCAAGCCTCTGCATACAGTGGATCAACCGATATATTTCAAACCACACCGTCCAGGTCATCGTCATCGGAAACAACATGAGCGTGATGGTCTTCCCTACCAACTACGTTTGCACCTTCTTCCAGTTGTGTTTTCCCCAACAAACAACTGGCCAAACTCTGTTCTTCATGCGCAACACCATCCTTCTCCGTTCGCCTACCCCTCTCGATTGCCCCCCTAATCATTCTCTGGGCATTAACTACGTCAACACACTGTGACATCAGCTTATGCATTGATTTCGTGACGTCAGCTAATTTAAAATCTACCAGAGCCACCAACTTCGGAGTAATTCTATCCAACACTTTCAGGAAAGCATAAACACAAGCTATTAATAACTGCCATAGCACATGTCACTTATTTTATTACACATTACAGAGCTACATATGAAAGTATCATTGACTTGGATTATACCTGCTGCGTAATATTTTCTGCGTCTATCGGAGCCACTAACTTCAGAGTAATTCTATCCAACACCTTCAGGAAAGCATAAACACAAATTATTAACAACTGCCATAGCACATGTCACTTATTTTGTACACATTACAGAGCTACATATGAAAGTATCATTGACTTGGATTATACTTGCTGCGTAATATTTTCTGCGTCTATCGGAGCCACCAACTTCGGAGTAATTCTATCCAACACTTTCAGGAAAGCATAAACACAAGCTATTAATAACTGCCATAGCACATGTCACTTATTTTATTACACATTACAGAGCTACATATGAAAGTATCATTGACTTGGATTATACCTGCTGCGTAATATTTTCTGCGTCTATCGGAGCCACCAACTTCAGAGTAATTCTATCCAACACCTTCAGGAAAGCATAAACACAAATTATTAACAACTGCCATAGCACATGTCACTTATTTTTTACACATTACACAGCTACATATGAAAGTATCATTGACTTGAATTATACTTGCTGCGTAATATTTTCTGCGTCTATCGGAGCCACCAACTTCGGAGTAACTCTATCCAACACCTTCAGGAAAGCATAAACACAAGCTATTAACAACTGCCATAGCACATGTCACTTATTTTATTACACATTACAGAGCTACATATAAAAGTATCATTGACTTGGATTATACCTGCTGCGTAATATTTTCTGCGTCTACCTCCCGCGTAGTCCGTTGCACATCTACGCGTTACACCCTTTGGTTTTGACCCTCCCGAGGACTCAACGGATGCGGCTCCCCATACGCTACATTCAGCGACTAAAAAAGAAGCAAACAAA